ACTGGAACCGTAACTGGCGGCGGTCCTGCCGGCGTGTCCGGGCCTCCGCTGCCGTCGCTATAATGTCTTAAAATGTCCACATTGTAGTTCAATTTTAGACCTTTTGAAAATTGTCCCCAAAACCTTTACAAATGTGTTTGTTCCACAGGTAGCCTGGGTCGACCTTGATTTCTATTCTATTAGGCCCACATTGTTTTTTGAGTTATTAAGTTAGGAAGGTGACTTTGTTTTGTTTTGGTTTTTAAATCGTGTTAGATATGATAATTTGAACAAAATAGGAAAAAACTAGTTTTCCTTGAGCAACTGCAGTCTTGCAGAATACAATAATAATTTTTTTGAAGAGATTTGAGAGATGGAAATGTTCTGAATTTTCAGTGAATACTTTCAGTCAGTTTCTGTTTAGAAACTTAACAGCAAATTTGTTTTCAAAATAATAGTTTAAAGAATTGAAAAATTAGTCACTTCTTTTAGTTCATATAAATGTATGGTATTTTCCTTCATACCTAACAGCACGTAGAAACTTAGGATAAGATGGTGACAGCATAGCAATAAAGAAGCTGAATTGTTCATTATATCAGAAAACTAGTGGGCTAGTTCCTGAGTCGGAGAGATGAAGGAAGAGATAACCAATGGCATCTGTGCTTCAACTTAAAAATCAAATTTAAAAGTACTGCTAATTGAGATTTGACAAAGAGTAATCCTGTTGAGTTGCCTATTGCTTTCACACATGTTCACTCCCAAGCTTATTACAGCAAGTAGCCTTATTTTAGTTATGGAAAGAACTGTCATTTTTATTATCAGTAATTTTAAATATGAAATACAGTAATATTTTTGTTTAGATAGTTTATGGTTATAATCGATATCCACTGATCCTGTAAAAATACCATTAAACTGAGGATAGATTTGTAATCCTGGTATTCTTCAAAGAAATAGCCAAAATTCCTCAATTATATTTATTTTCATACATTCTTGATGAACATAGCTTATGAATTTGAAATGTAAAGAATTCTTTTTAATGATTAAAGTGATGAAGAGCACTCATGTTCTCCTATGAATATGAATTTTGAAGTAAATGTCTAGATTCATCAAGCAGGGAATATATGAAACAAGTGTAGCTGTGTTATAATCTAGGGCTTTTTACGGCTGTGTACATTCAAATAATAATAGCAATATAAACCTGTGTAATATAAGTTTATTCTATCAAAAGTAGAAAAGATATAGTTTTTCTTTGAAATGAGAAATACTGGTGTGGTACAGAGGTTAGAAATAGAAGGTGATGTCATTTCAAATAAGTCAAAAGAAGATACTGTGGGTCAGTTTCATGACAGGTTAATACATAAACATTATGTACAGCCATTAATTCTGTATAAATAAATCTGAACAACAAAATGGGGACCCATAATTTACACATACTATGCACTTATTTTGTATTTGTAAATGTACAAGCATTAATATTTTCAGATTCACAGTCCATTTCAGAGTTATTAGTATTTGAGGAATGTTTAGTTAGTCGGAGTGTACTTGATGTATATTACTATTTTCAGTAGTGAAGAGCTGGAAAGGAGCAGTTTCATTTTCAGCTGTGTAATGGGGAAGATTTCAGTTTTTTTTCACTGCAAATGTAGGATTTTGCTTATTTGGCCTGAGGTCTTTTTCCTTCGTATACTCTTGTATATGCTGTTCTGTTTGTTTCAGGTAATGATGTGAACTGAGGAAGGCTCATGGTGCTTTAAAAGTCTTACCTTCTTACATAAGTTTCTAGGAGTGCTGGTTAGAGTTTGTTTCTATCACTTGAAATTAATAAACAGATAATTTTTTTAACGTATTAAAAGAGACTGTAAATAATAGAAACAAAATCCTAGCATACAGGAATAGCATCTGAACTGAATCCCAGCTCTTTAAAGATAATTGCTTCAGAAACAAGGGCCATTGAAGAATGTGGTGCTACGCTATTAACCTGAGGTTTGAAGTACTGATCAGACTTGATGCATATATAAAAAGAATTATATGAGAGTTGGCTGCAGTAGCAGGGGACAATATTGGGTGACCTAAGGTTTTAGGCTTCCTGAAACTAATCTATTTTTCTGTTGAAAACAACGCAAGGAGCACATCTGTTGTGCTTAATTACTGATTTCTGTCGCGTACCCATGTAAGAACCAAAACCAGGTGTGTTACTGTGGTAATGTAGGCGGAAATCTTACCCCATCCTAGGGAGATAGACATAAATAAAATTACTGCTCTGTTTCTCCACTGTTTAATTCCTTACTTGATGGATTCAGTTGTATCGGATCTTTGTGAAAACACATATGATTCTTATTTTACACTGGTAAATGGGGGAAGATTTGGCTTTTTATTCTCTCAGATAAGCTAAAAGAAATACTCAAGACAACATGCAAATGCATAAATTCAAGTACACAGCATGAGTTAAAGTAGCATCTCACAGTTTACTCTGTGTATACAGTATATTTCTCTTGTAAATTGTTCCAACATTCAGAATTTTTTGTTTTCCAGTGTAGGACTTAGTTATCAAAGAATGCTACCTATTAGGTACAGCTTTTCTAGTTTTATATGCTCAGTGCAGAGTAATGTTTAGAATTGCCAGTAAGTAGTTTTGGCTTGTACTGTAAAGCCATTCTGGTTTAGATTAACTATGAATGAATCTCTGACACTACAGAGACCTTTGGTTAATAGATAGATATAGATACATTTATTGATGTAATAAACAATGGAATATGAAAAAAAAATAAGATTTTTTTTCCTTCTGAAAGAAATACTAAAATAATGCAATTTGCCTTCTGGGTAAACTGCATGTGAGGTAACCTCACATTGTAAAAATGTAGGAATGTGAAGTTATCAAATATTTTGCCTATGTTTTCTATGGTATTTTTGACTGCTATGTTAAAATATTATATAACAGAACTAATAAAGTCTGTTCTACTGAAATTTGTAGATCAAGCAAAATAAACATACAGAAAACTGATGCAATGGGAAAGCTTATTAGTTAAGCTTTTCAAAATGGATAATGTTAGATGCATTTATTTTTCTTTTTTCTAGCCGTAATACCTGCGGGCCACTGCACTCGAGTAAATTTGAGGTGAGACCTTTGCTGTGAAGCATGATCAGACACGAATTTTATTTGGGGGTTTTGTTTGTTTGTTTGAAGGTGTGAATGGCCCCTGCAAAGTGTAAAGGGCATTGTGCAAACACACAGTCGTTTTGTAAATGAAGTTCATAAGCATAAGTTAGACTGTTGTACTGCAGTGTGAAAGCACTATCCCTTTAAACTCAGTTTCAGAAATTAAATTCTTAGGTTTGTGGTGCTTCTGATGGTTTTTAATTTATTTCTTTCATTTATTTTTAGGAGAAGTTACATCCGAGAAATCTTATCCCAGAGCTTTGTAGACTGTTCTATGGTTTAGGCTGGGTAACCGGAACCGGTGGAGGAATCAGCTTGAAACATGGGTAAGTAAAGATGGAAGAGAAGGAATGTGATGGTTAGCAAGAGAGATGGTGGCTGTGTTCAGTAGTTGGTGAGAGCATTTCAGTTTCATGAAAAATGTTTGAAAGTCAAGAGTGAGCAAGAATCGTAGAATGGTTTGGGTTGGAAGGGACCTCAAAGATCATCTAGTTCCAACCCCCCTGCCATGGGCGGGGACACCCTCCACTACACCAGGTTCCTCAAAGCCTCATCCAACCTGACCTTGAACACTTCCAGGGATGGGGCAGAAGGTAGAGTGTGAAATGAACAGTGTGCCAAATTTAACCACAGAGAAGGGAGATAACTAGTCTGAATTAATCATTGCAGTCCTTTCAATGGAGAGAGCCAGCTTCAGAGAGTGACTTTTTTTCTTTCCTTTTCCTATTTTTGTTTAAGGTAGATGAATTGTCTTTAAGGAACAATGCATTCCCCTTTTTTCATGTCATTGACTATGGAATTTAGAATGGGTTACACCAGTCACATGGCTTTTGGATGCCTGTGGTTAGATGAAATGAATCCCACCCTAGATATTTCACAGGCAAGACGTTTCCTTTACAAAGGAGATTATTGCTCTACTGAGATGATTTCTAAGGCGATATTCTTAACATATAATTAAAGCAGGACAGGTAACAGCAAAACAGTTTTTGGTGTGTATCCACTACTAAGGAGCAGCACTTTGCTTTTTGTTTTGCTCATCTTCCTCTAGTCTTCCTTTCCAAACTTTTAATGGAGACAGAGCTCCTCTCAGTGGCCAGTGAAAAAAGAGAAGTCTGCATTCTGCAAAACACCTTGCACAGTGCCTGCAGTTCTGTCCCCAGTCACAGGGTGTTGTTACACTTTAAAGTATCTGACCTCTCATTTTTCTGGCATACGCTTGCATGCAGATACAAACAGCCATTGCTATTCAAATATATGAGAGAGATATATATCTGAAGTAAAGGCTCTGTATGCTAATATTTGTGCTGTTCTAATGGCTTTGTGCAGGTCATTTCACTTCCCTGCTTGATTTTGCAAGCAAAGCAACAGCAATAATAATAATGAGAGGAATTACAAGAGGGTTAGTTCTTGTTTCTAAAGTTCCTTGTCTATAGAAAGATCTTTCTAGCACTGATTTGTCATCAGTAGCTAAATGTAGCCTGTTTTCTTCATCATTTCAGTGTGATTCTTGTTGGTTGTGGCAAGACAAATGGTGCCAACAGAGAATACACTAACATAGTGGTACAGTTTTCCTCAGCGGTTCTATAACTTGGTTGCCCAGAGTACACTTAAATACATATTTGAGTTGGTACCAATACTGTACATGGTCTAGGAATAGTAATCTGTGTGGCTGTACTGTTTTATATCTACAGTAACAGTAGCTATGTTTCAGAATTAATAGCTATGAGGCAGAGATCAGACTAGCTTAGAATTGTTACATAGGAAATAGTGAAAGAACAATTGAAATTTGGTTGAAATTCTAACAAGTGGTCTTACCAGCTAATCCTAATCAGCATTACTCACTGTGCAGTTCCTATCAATACTCAGAATAAAAATGTCAATTCCGATGTGGGTTAGCATATTAAAAATGGATCTAGAATTCTTTGTCAGATGCCCTATATTTCAAAGAATGTATTTCATCATCAGATTTTCCCTTTGTGATTAGCGTCTACAAAAGAAAAAAATATTTTAAGAAAAAATGCATGTCTTTCATTAGTAACTAGATTACTACTTGATTTCTTGATATGTTGCACTCTCAATCATCTTACTCATGCAAAGGAATTAAAACTAAATTAATGCAATGTTGGCAGTGTTAATTCTTGAATGTTAAGAATTACAAATATGATAAAGCCACATTTTGATGTGCTTCACAGCCGTTTTACCACTTCGAAGAGTTCATCATCTTAAGAGCTGTATTTTTCAAAGAGTTAGAATCATAGAATCATTTAGATTGGAAAAGACCCTTAAGATCATTGAGTCCAACTGTAAACCTAACATTGCCAAGTTCACCACTAAATCATATCCCTAAGCGCCACATGTACACATCTTTTATGTACCTCCGGGGATGATGACTCAACCACTTCCTTGGGCAGCCTGTTCCAAGCAGGCTTGATAACCTTTTCAATGAAGAGATTTTTCCTAGTATGCAATCTAAATCTCCCCTGGCACAACTTGAGGCCATTTCCTCTCATCCTATGACTTGCTACTTCGAAGAAGAGACCAACACCCACCTCACTACAACCTCCTTTCAGGTAGTTGTAGAGAGTAATAAGATCTCCCCTGAGTCTCCTTCAGACTAAATAACCTTAGTGCCCTCAACCACTCCTTGTAAGACTTCTTCTCTAGACCCTTCACCAGCTTGGTTGCTCTTCTAAGTGCTGTTGTCCAGAAATATATACATCTCGTGGTCCTTAGGAAATGTATCTGTAACTTGACTAATTCTTCACTAGATGTCTCTGTGCTCCTGAATTTAGTATGTTACTGTTGAAACAGGATAGTGATTAAAATTGAGACAGATAATCTGATCATATTTCAGATACTATCTTAAAATTGTTTTAATTTAAATCAATTTTTATAGTCTTTGTTCATGTAAAACTTGCAAGTGATGCGCTTCTACTTGAATTTCAGTCATTTAATTGCTTTGAATTAGTGTTATCTTTTTATCAATACAAATAGATAAATGCGTTAAAAACCTAAACCACACAGTTATAACAAAACCCAAAAGTATTATTTACATTGTAGAATACTACAGATAATGAATATTGTTTATAGGTAGCCTGTGAATTTTTAAGTAATAGTTTTGTCACCTGTTTTCTCATAGATCAGTATCTGCTTGCAATTCTCTTGTTCCATTTTTATTTTGAATTGTAGGCATTTGAGTTTGGAATTATTGCAAGAAGAGGCTGTGTGTTTCTCTTTGTAGGAAAAATAAGGCTGCACTTCCTACGTTTGTTTCGGATCTCTTGTCAAGTTGAAAGCACAGTTTTGTGCCTCTTCAAGCTAGAGATTTCATATGTCATGCTTTGATTCAGTTCTGTTTTGAAAACTATCTACATGTCAGTCTATGTCAGGAGCCAGAAAGTTATTAAACTATGAAATTGCTATTTCCTTTTCAGTGGATTGAGAACTCTAATGCCTGTGCTGTTGAAAAACCCTGTGTTTATTGATTTTCCCTGTCTGTAACTTTTCTTAGGAATGAAATCTACATTGCTCCTTCAGGAGTCCAAAAGGAAAGAATACAGGTAAGTTGAACTGTATTTTTACCTCAGAGCTCATCTTGAGATGGATGAAAGTATCTTTGTTTAGAGTTTCATTCTTCCTTATGTAAAGTTAGAAACTTGTTATACTGTTGACTGCCTTTTTGAAACAGCTGAGGATTTCGCCCAGTACTCCACTAGTATGCAAGTTAATATGTGTTTCAGTGGCCAGTGTAGATTAGTCTTGATGAATCTATTTGCTTTAAATTAACGCAGAAGACTCTGAGATTCAGCCATTTCTCAAGTCCAGCTTTATTCTTTGTCAAGCTTAAATGGCTTTATAGTTGTCTGGCTACAGTTTCAAGTTACTGTGGCACATATGTAACTAAGCATTAACTCCTCATCTCTATTTATTTTCATTTGAGTGATTACAAATCTTTGACTTGATATTCTCAGTAAATAGATGGGCTCTCCCATGAAAAGGTGACCTTGTCTATCTGTCTCCTTTCAAAAAAAAAACCCAGAGTGTAAGTGGAGGAGAGAACAGTGAATGATAACTATTTTATGACTATTTTATGGAACTCCCCTAGAATAGAATAATATGTGGAAAGGATTTGTGTGTTTATAGATCTGAGGGTAAATACAATGAGAAGTCAAAGGAATCTCTTTGCTGATAGAAACTTAGGGTTTCACAACAGTGCTCACAGTGGGGATGTTAGCAAGTAAGGCAGGCAAAGGTATAACATAGCAAGACTGTAATGGTCTGTTCTAAGGAGTAGCAGTGGATTGAGCACAGTGACTAAGGAAATCTCTTGCAACAGTATTTCCT